AGCATGATGTTTTCAGTGTTCATCCATGTCCTAGTATCTAACAAAACTCTGTGTCTTTTTTTGTGGCTGAGTAATATTTCATTGTATGTTTATACCACATTTTGTTTATCCTTTCATCTGTTCATGTATACTTGAGTTATTTTCAACTTTTGGCTGCTGTGAATAATGGTGCAGTGAACATTTGTATACAACTATTGCTTTGAGTCTTGCTTTCCATTCTCTTGGATATATGCCTAGAAGTTAAATTTCTGGGTCATATGGTTATTTGGTGTTTAACTTTTCAAGGAACCACCAATTTGTTTGCCACAGTGAGGGCACCATTTTATATTCCCACATCCCATATTGGGCAAGCATTCTGATTTTTCCACATCCTCACTGACATTTGTTGTTTTCCATTTTTCTGCTAGTAACCATCCTAATGGGAGTAAAATGGTGTCTCATTGTTTTGATATGCATTTTCCTAATGACTAATGATGTTGAGCATTTTTTCATGTGCTTGCTTCATGTGCTTTATACATACCTTCTTTGGAGAAATGTCCATTTAAGTCCTTTGCTTATTTTTTTAGTTAAAAAAGTTTTATTAAGCTTTAATTTTGGAATGTTTTATAATGTCTATTGTACAAACTTTATATGACATCTGTCTTTTAGAGGAAATAACAAATAAAATCTATGGAAATTGATGAATTATTACCTCCCTCCCAGTCTGATAGAAATGATATAACTGAAAGTTTAATTTATGAGACTTAATGTGAGTTTAAAATTGCTTTCCTCATTTCATTTATTAACATTATCTTGTTTGTTTTATGTGTATTTTTACTCCATCTAATTTCTAGTTAAATTAAGTAAATTTATATTTAGAGTAAACTATTGGTAAAAAAGTTAAAACTACTTTAAATTCGTAATAAATTTATTTAAACTGGGCCAGGACCAAAATATATTTCTTTTGTTAATTCAGTTGAGAACCTGTAAAAAAGCCAGTGGAATGTGTTTCTGTTTTGATCAAATATATTTTTGTCTATTTCTTTAGTAATCTCAATGAAATGACATAGGTAAAAAATGGAAGAAAATATACAAAATCATATGTTTGGTGATACACATTAGAGAGATTGAAAACTTTATGACAATTTCTATGAAAAGTCAGTTATTCCATTCCTACTTCCAAGGCTTGGTCTAGATAAAGTGACTCTATAAGCTAGATTCTAACACTGTAGATTTTTGCAGGAGCAAAATGTCGCATCTTTCTCCGTGGAATAGCTGTTGACTTCAAACTGTTGACATTTTGCTTAGCAGCCGAGCATTTAACAACTGCTCGCCTGGGGTTCTTCCATGATCTCTGAGCACTATTTTATTTATTTATTTATTTTTACTTCTCATTTTGTGTCATTCCTTCTGAAAATCATTTTATATGTGTTTGCATTTTTTTTTTTTAACCAACTGAATATGAAGAAAGCTTTGCCAGGTGACCATGCTTACAAGAGCGTCTTGATATGAATTCCATGGTCAGTAGTATACTATTGTTATGTGCCGTCGAGTTGGACCCGACTCATAGTGACCCCTCCTTGGGTTTCCAAAGCAGTATCACTACAGAAGCAGATTGCCCACTTTCTTTCCGAGGAGTGGCTGGTGGGTTTGAACTGCCAGCCTTGTGGTTAGGAGTCAAGTGCCTTGGGTATTACACTACCAGGACTCCCTTGTAGTATACTATATAGGAAGATAAATGTTCTGAAAAAGAGTAAATCCTCCTCTCTTCTTCCCTTTTCCCAATCTTCTATCTCATTCTTCCTTCTACTTTTCTTGAGGTAATGGGGAGCTATTAAAGATTTCTGGCTAAAAGGACATTGTAACAATATTTTAGGCAAATATTGATATTTCCTGGTTAAACCTAACCTAGGCCTGGCTGATACAAATGGTAATGCATATGGCTGCTAACCAAAAGGTTGATGGTTCACATCCATCCAGGGAAACCACAGACAAAGGCTGCCAGATCAGAAAAATCAGTCTTTGAAAACTCTTATCAGCTCAGTTCTACTCTTGACACACATTGGATCACCAAGAGTCAAAATCAACTAGATGGCAACTGGTGAATTGGTAACATCAGTGGATTCTCAACTTGGCTGCATTAAACCCACTGCCATCTAGTCTGTGTTAGGATGAGACAAATATGGAAATGCAGGCAAGTTAGAGAGTACAGAAGATGTGAGTCCCTAACTTGCTTTCTCCTCTCCTTTAATTTAAATTCAAGCTTGGTCTTTTTCATTTCCTTGGCAAAGACAAGAAACCCCACCCCCCCATATTTTTTTCAAGTTGGTATTGAGAAACTCTTCCCCTCTTTCCACACACCAAGGAATCTCTTATTTTGCTAAATCGTGGGGGTGGGTGTAATTTAAATGAAAGGAATTAGTGTTTACTTAAGCCCAAATGCTGCCTTTTATTTCAAATAACCAAGGAAAGGATGACTTTCCCACATTGTAAAACAAGACCTAAAGAATTGTAACTCTCCATGGAACTTTCCTTTTCATTAGCACAGAGAATTTGGAATGAAAATAAGACACTTAGGTAAAAATTCCTCAAAATTCGAAATTTATTAAAGGCACACTAAAGCAAATTAATATAAAGCTATGAAGTTATTATCTTTGTTTTTGGTTAAATAATAATAACATGTTTAAAATTCTTCTCTTTGTATTATATTCATACAATAAATATTAATGTGTGTGTGTATATGTATATACTTTGTGTGTATATATATACTATGTGTAACCTCAGTATATACTTAAGTATATATATATATATATATATATATATATATACACACACTGAAGTTAATTCAGTTTAGAACTGAAGTACTGAAGAACTACCAGTTTTCTTATCATGATGGAACTAAGTTTATATTTGTTTGTTTTCTTTTTTAAAATCATCTGGAATATGTTAGAAACTTACATTTAAAATGTTTGGCATTATGTGTAGTATATAAGTAGAACCCATGCTTATTTGATGATTAAGGACACAGAGTTTAGAGTTAGACAAGACTGGCCCTAGTCTTAAATTTATCACATATTAACTGTGTAACCTTGGACAAGTTACTTAACCTCTTTGAACCTTAGTTCATTTTTTAAATGGAGATGATGGCTTACCTTGTTAAGTTACTATGAGTATTAAATGTGAACGGTTGTTGTTGTGAGGTGCCATTGAATCAATTCTGACTCATAGTGCCCCTATGTACTGCAGAACAAAACTGCCTCGTCCTGCACCATCCTTATAATCATTGCTGTTTGAGCCTGTTGTTGCAGCCACTGTGTTAGACCATCTTATTGAGAGTCATCCTCTGTTTCACTGACCCTCTACCAAGCATGATATCCTTCTCCAGATATTAGTCCCTCCTGATAACATGTCTAAAATATGTAAGACGAAGTATCACCATCCTTGCTTCTAAGGAGCATTCTGGCTGTATTAATATGGTTTATTAAAGGATTACCTTAGTACCTGGCTCATTGCACTCAGTAACTGTCAACTCAAACCAAATGGATAAAAGTTTTTATTTAATAAAATAACATCTGCCTTTTTACCTTTTGTTGGATTTATATACATCATTTTTGGAGATCAAAATCTTAATTTTTTTGTATGATCACTGTCTAATTTTATTTATGGACAAATGTTTTATAGGATTCTTCTTTTAAAAAATTATTCAGTTTAATTTTTTTTCAAGTCTAATGATCCCGAGGTTGTCAGGCATTTGGAGGACAACTCATTTCTACACTACTTAGTTAATTATTGTGAACGTAAACAAAAGATGTACAATTCAAAGTCAAGCAGCATTTCAGATGGATGATGGAGGTGATAATAGCTTAATTCCTCTGGATCTTTCTTGTCTTTGCTCTGGTGAGTTCATACTGACCTTGTCCAAAATCTGATGACCTCCCTATTTTACTCAGCTGTTTGGAAAGCTGGGCCTGCCTCGGCTGGCCCTGAGGGGGTATCTGAGAGACCACTGAGCCATTGACCCATGTCAAGACTGGATTTTTAAGTCAGATCTGCAGGGCCTCTAAAATAGTTGTACATAGGGCTTATTGAACACAAAAGCCTAAACTTCTGCATTTTTCTGCTTATTAAATGTGCTATTAAAGTGTATTTAAAGTGTCCTTGTTAAGGTCATATATTTAATTTACACAGTTTCTTAATGCAACTCATTTTCTGGACTGATTATAAATTTTAATATTTTTTTCAGAATTAATGCCTTAGAACTAAAGTTGAATGTTTTGAAATATGAGGAAAATGTGTCGTTAAACCATGGTTATTTATAATGAATTACCTTTCTGGTTGATGCAGGGACCAAGACAGTGGCAAAATAGTGATTATATTGTAAAGAGTTTGGTGTTTTTCTGGGAAAAACCCATATACCTCATAGAAAGTCTAGTTTACTTTGTCATTATAATTACAATATGGTAATCTGTGTTTATGTCTTGACCAAAAGAAAAACCAAACACACTGCAATCAGGTCGGATCAGACTCATAGCCACTCCTCCTTGGGTTTTCAAGTGGTATCACTACGGAAGTAGATTGCCCAACCTTCTTTCCGAGGAGTGCCTGGTGGGTTTGAGCCACCAGCCTTCTGGTTAGAAGTCAAATACCTTAGGCACTATGGCACCAGAGCTCTCCAAAATTACTCAAATTATTTAAGCATTTTGCAGTTATGAGATATGTCTGGAAAGAGAGTATATAACCAACCAGTAAGATATTAATCTGTTTTGGTGAGATAGGATCTACCTTAATAAAAATTTTATGATAGAACTGTGATATGAAGGTTAGGCAATCTACTTCCGTAATGATACTGCCTTGGAAACCCAAGGAGAGGGATCTGGTCTCTATGAGTCAGGTCTGACTAGACGGCATAACAACAACGTTTATTTTTTTCTTCTGCATTAGGAGATGGTCAGGCCCTTTTTTCAATACCTATTCGGTATCCCACAATTTATAATATGATATCATCTTTTATTTTTATACAGGAATTGATCCCTGAATTTTATTATCTCCCTGAAATGTTTGTCAACTTCAATAATTATAATCTTGGCGTGATGGATGATGGGACAGTAGTGTCTGATGTTGAACTTCCTCCTTGGGCTAAAACCTCAGAAGAATTTGTTCGCATAAACAGATTGGTAAGATAGTAATCATTTACTCCATCTGTCATGAGTCTGTTCTTAGAGCATCTTTCATGTGTTGGTGTATAATCATTAACCCTTGCTCTTCTGGACAAAGCTGTAGTTGATAGGGTAATTGAAAGTGACATAACAGTTTGTGAATCTCTGTATATACTTTGTAACAATTTATAGAATTGGAAGATATAATGGCTTATTCTGTTGTTTAGTACAGAATTCAGGTTACTTTCATGTATACATGATAATTCAGTGTTAAAAAATGAAACTTAAAATTGAAACTAGAATTCAACATAAGTGAAACTACAATTTTTCTTCAGACATGAGTGTCTCCTGCCAAGATTTTCAAATTATATCCTGCATCTATCTTTTGAAGGAAATCTTTACATAATATTTTGAGTATGAAAACTTAAAGAAACCTTAAAATCATGGTAATGAAATGCTTACTAACAAGTCTGTAGAGTGGACTCTTTAATGCCCTCTGTTACATGGGTTCTGTATTATTCGGTGAAGAACAGTGTGGCTTTTCATTTTCATATTTCATAAAATTTTGAAATCAAGGAGTACTTTAAGCACTTACTCAATACTTGAAATTATATTTTTACTATATTCCAATTTTACAATTACTATTGTTATTTTTAATTTTATAGTTAAAGAAAATTGCTGCATTTGGTTTTCTCAGTAGCATTTCTTTTGGTTTTAAATTACCTTTCAAGCTAATTTAATGTTATCTTCTAGACCCTGGTTACAATCTCAATATTACTAAAATTTTACATTTTAAATATACTGGTAGCAATGCAGGTGAGTGAAAAGAACATAGGGTTTGGAGTTAGACCATATTTCCCAATCCTGGATCAGTCATTCCTGGGGAAATGTAAGCAGTTTAACCTTTCCAAGCCTCATTTTCCACATTTTTAATTTGGAAATTGTGAGTATGAAATTGCAATTATGTACATGAAATACCTAGAACATTGTCAGTGCAGTAGGCAGATGGTTCCTATTATTCTTGTGTCACAGTATTATGGTATGTTCCTTTTCATTTTACCCCAAGAGTGTCTAAATATTCTCAGTAAGTGACTGTGATTAAAATGAGAGCCCAAAATGAAGGTTAGCCCTGCAAGATACTGAAGGAGATGTCAAACTTTTCATGGTGTGTACATGGTTGTATATTTTCCCCACCATGAGTGCATAGAAGTGAATAGAAGGTATGTTCATTCAACAATGTTGTCATTGGTTGTCTACATTTTTTAATGTAAACTTAATATATATATTAAATTTACAATTTAATGAGTTTCAGTAAATTTATACAGTTGCATAACTATCTCACTGCCGTGGAGTTGATTCTGACTCATAGTGACCACTCCTTGGGTTTCTGAGGCATTATCTCTATGGGAATAGATTGCCCAGTCTTCCTTCCAAGGAGTGGCTGGTGGGTTTTTTTGTTTTGTTTTGTTTTGTTTTGTAACTATCACCACAAACCAGCTTTAAAATACTTATATGACTTTAAAAAGTCTCCATGTACCTGTTTGTAGTCAATCTCTGCTCCCACTCTTAAGCACTCATTCTGTAGTTTTGCCTTTTCTAGAAATTTTATGTAAGTGGAATCACATAATATGTAATCTCTCGGTGCCTGATTCTTTCACATTGCATAATGTTTTTGAGATTCATCCATGTTGCATTTTTCAGTAGTTCATTTCTTTTTGCTGCTGCATAGTATTCCGTTGTGTGGATATACCATATTTTGTCTGTTTACCTGCTAATGGACATTTCAGTTGTTTCTGGGTTATTATGAACATTTATATACAAGTCTTTGTGTGGAAATTTGTTTTTGTTTCTCTTGGGTAGATTCCTAAGTCATATGGTAAGAATACATTTACTGTACTCTCTGTATATTCCTATTAATAATTTATGAAGTTCTAATTTTTTCCTCCTTGCCAAGACTTGGGATTGTCAATCTTATTTATTTGATGCGTTCTAGTAGGTATCTCAAGGAGCTCTGGTAGCGTAGCGCCTAAGGCACTTGACTGCTAACCAGAAGGCTGACGGTTCAAACCCACCAGCCACTCCTTGGAAGGAAGGGTGGGCAATCTACTTCTGCAGTGATGCTGCCTCAGAAACCCAAGGAGGGGTCGCTATGAGTTGGGTCCAACTCGACAGCTCATAACAACAACAACAATAGTAGGTATCTCATGGTTTTAATTTACATCTCCTTAATGATAGGGAGCCCTGGTCGTGCAGTGGTAAAGACCTTCACTGCTAATCAAAAGGTCAGCAGTTTGAACCCACCAGCTGTTCCACAGGAGAAAGATGTGGTGTTTGCCCCATGAACTCTGGAGCAGTTCTACTCTGTCCTATAGGGTTACTTGGAGTTGGAATTGACTTGACTGTCATGAGATATTTTTTAATGGCTAATGATGTTGAGCTGAGTTGAGTATCTTTTCACAGGCTTCTTTCCTATTTATATGTATCATTTAATGAATTTATGATATATCTATCATTTAATTAATTTTCACATCTTTTGCCTATTTTTTAATTGAGCTATTTGTCTTTTTGTTATTGAGTTGTAAGAAATCTTTATATATTCTCTGTAAAAGTCCTATATCCTACAGATGTTTTGTAATTATTTTCTTCCTGGTGTGTGGCTTGTCCTTTCAGTTTTTAATGGTGCCTTTTGAATCACCAGTTTTTTAAAAAATTGTATTAAATATTAGGTAGATCTAAAATTATATGATTAGAAAAGGTATAAAGAATCATTCCCATTTTTAAGGGATCTATTTCTAAGAAAAAAGTTAAAGTCATGTTCTGATCAGACTTTTTCCTAAATATGACTTAAAAATTTAAGTCTCAGAGACAGCAGCTTTCTATTAATTAATACCATAGAGGCTTGTTGGTATGTTTTCTTTACTTTAAAATAAATCTAAGGAGCAGAAACATTTGAATAAGTAGTTAAATAAATATAACTATATTTAAATCTTTTCATTGATATTTTATTTTTCATAGTTATGGCATTTATTAAGGAAATAACGGGTTACAATTCAGGATCAGAAATGACTCAGGATACAGTTCTTTGATCAGGACAGTTGTGCCCACAGGCAGGTCTCTCTTCAGTCCTCAACCCCTTGACTCAGCCTCTGATCTGCTTGTGCATGTGTTAGAAAGTTCTTTTAGCTTTGCTGATAAGTGCCCAGAGGCACCCACTCTGCCAGCAAGCCTCCTACGTGAAGGCACTCAGTTTTCTCACTCCGTTAACTGGGAAGTTCACTGTGCTGTCTCCTGCGGTTCTCTTGTTCTATTGCCTCTGCTGCCACCATTTTTCTGCCACTGCTTCTTGTCGTCTCTCACTATCTCTTACCATCTCCAGTGTTACAGCTCTTTGTCTTCTGGGTCTAGGAGGTTCCCTGCACAGGTACCCCGGATCCAAAGGACCTGGTCTGCTCCCATCTCTTCTTTTTGGTAGTAGTCAGGTCCTCCCTTTCTGCCCCTGAAATGGCTCACTTTAAGTCTAGCAGGATGACAACATTGACCAATCCCCTCATTAGGGTTCCACACACCTTATTTGCATGGTCCCACACCCAAGAGCGTTCCATACACGTTATTTAATTAGCAAGTTATCCAATCCCCTTCATGGGCCACAAGCACCTAATTTGCATAGTCCCATCTACTCTTTTCATGGGAGTTTTACAAGATTTTGGTGATAAGGTCCATATTAAGTAATTCACTGCATCCTACATAGTGATTTTTTTTTTTTTTTAATGAGCATATGTTTTTAATTCATGCTGATGATAAACTTACTGGTATTGAGTTGATTCTGGCTCATAGCAGAGTAGAACTGCCTCATATAGTTTTTAAGGCTGTAATCTTTATGGGAGCAGACTGCCACATCTTCCTCTCACAGAATGGCTGGTGGGTTTGAACCACTTATCTTTTGATTAGCAGTTGAATACTTAATCACTGAGCCATCAGGGCAAGAGAGGCCTAAAAGAAATTAGTGTGCAAAAGACTTCACAGATCTCACTATTAGATGTAGTATGAGTTATTTACCTGCCTCTTGGTTCTGGATAAGGCCACAAGTAAATTCAGATTCAAAAAATATTTATTACACTGTGTATTACTTAGGACTCTTCTGACTACAGGATACAGAAACCTAACCCAGACTAGATTCAACAACAACAAAAGGAAACATATTGGCTGATATAACTGGTGTGCTTGAGGGGTTTCTAACTTCAGGCTTGGCTGGATCAAGAGGCTCAAATTGTGATAAGGACACTTTTTCTACATTTTTTACCCTTTGTCTTCATTCTCAGGCAGTCTCTTCCCTCCATTTTATAAAGAGAACAAACAGCAACACCAAGTTTAAAACTTGACCACTTAATACCTAGATAGACACTCAAGCTGAACAGGCGTGGGAAGGCAAATGGGAACATATTCATGAATATATGTAGGTTTGACAGAGGATTTTACCACATATGTATTTATATGTGCTTCAAATATGAATATAGCTGAGCATACAGGGGGCAAAGCTATGAAAACTTCCCATCCACAACCAAATACCCTGAGGCAATGGGTCACTGTGTGTGGGGCCTCAGGACCATAGTCTTAGTAGACACCAAGGTCACTTGGCACAATGTAGTCCACAAAGACAATGTTCCATTTCCTACCCTGGTGAGCAATAACTAGGATCCTAAAAGCCTGCAAGTAATCTTCTAAGGAGCAACTATTGGTCTCTCCCTATCCTGAGCAAAGGGGAGTGAAGAAAATCAAAGACGCAAGGAAACAGTCCAAAAGGCGAATGGACTGTGTCACCCCAATCTCCATGATCCCGAGACCAGAAGAACTAGATGGTGCCCAGCCACCACTGTTGATAACTCTTTCAGAGATCACAATAGGAGGTCCCAGACAGAGTGGGAGAAAAATGTGGAACAAAATTCAAAATCATGAAAAAGACCAGTCTTACTGAGCTTACAGGGATTTTGGGAAGTCCCCAGAATATGGCCTAGATACCT